TAGTTCCCTGTCTAGAACTTATAATGCTAATTACTCTTGCCTTTACTTCTCCTTCACATCTCCTATTTATAATTCAAGGACTTTCTTCTTCCCTTAGAGACAAGAGTTGTGCAATTTGGGAGTCTTTTAGATAGAGCCACTGAAGGGGTACGCCAATTGCCTCACCCTGCATCCCTGTTGAGCGTGGAAGAAGACAGAGCAGTGGTCGTCCCTATTCCCTATTGGCAATTTGGGTAATCTTTACAGAGGAAGGTGTGATAAGAATAGGAGGTAGGAAGGCTAGGCAGTTAGGGTAAAAAGACCCCAAAAAATGTAGCCAGTTTCTTGGCTACAAGTCAAAATGTCCTTGGGCCTGTTAGCAATGTACTCTGTTCCAAAGGCCAAAAATGTCCAAAGTATTTGGGAGCTTGAATCTAATGCTTAAAAGATTTTAGGGTTACTTCTTCATCGGGGGGAATGTTGGAGGGGAGGGAGTGGGCATGGATTTGATCAAAACACCTTATAGACATGTATGAAATTCTCAATAAAGTTTTGTAAAAGTTAAAAAAAAAGAACACTTGTTGTTCTTGCAGACGACCTGGGTTCAAATCCCAGCACCCACATGGCAGCTAACAACTGTCTGTAACTCCAGTCCCAGGGGACCCAACAGCCTCTTCTGACCTCCATAGGCATTGCATGACATGGGTGCACTTACCTACATACAGGCCATAGACACATACACATAAAATAAAATCAATAAATAAAATTTTTTTAAAAAAATGATATCAGCACTAAAATTTATCATAAAAATTTGTGATGAAAGTCAAAATTTAGAACATCTGAAGAGGAAAACATAAGATACATTGTTTTCTTATATAAATTCTTACCTGTCTTTTCCTGTAATTGATTAACTTTATTTCTGGATTCCTCTAGTAGCAACATTAAATCTTTCATTTTATTTTCTTTCTCAGCATTTTGGACCAATAATTGTGATATCTAAAATAAAAATTTTAAAACAATATAGATGCAAAAAGATAAAACACCTTAGCATTTATATTCCGATGTAATTATTTTACAACCTTTTTTTACATTCTTTTAATTACAGACCTTTGGCTTTGGAAAATCTGGTTTAAAAATAAGCAGCACACACCTTTAATCACAGCACTTGGGAGGCAGAGGCAGGCAGATCTCTGTGAGTTCAAGGTAAGCCTGGTCTAGTGAGTTCCAGGACAGCTGAGGCTACAGAGAGAACCTGTCTCAAAAAGACCCTCCCCCCCCCAAAAAGCTTAAAATGCAAAAGTGTATATATTTCTTAACTAGGATAAGCTATGTTCTAGCAATTCAGAGAAGATAGTAAGAAACATAAGAGGCTAACTTTTTGTATATCACTTTCTACTTGGGAAGCAGAAAGTTTAAAAAGATGACAAAATAAAAATCTAAAATTTAAATCCTTGCAAATATCAGAAAAAAACAGACTTACCATTTTCAATGTTTCCATTATATGATATGAATAGAAAGAATCAACAGAATTTTTAAATTTCCTTTCATTGGTCTTACAGATAGTATTTTCAAGATAAACCAAAAAAACCTATTGAGTTGCCAGTGATCACCTTTACATTCTATTAGGTTTTATTTTTTGAACAAAATTTCTCAAAAATATTTTTTCAGCAATGTAAACTGATATAAATATTGTAAATTCCTTGATTCAAAACTATTGAAGATCAATCTTCAGTGAGTGTATATTTGAATCATAAAAATAAGTTAGAATAGACAAAAGGCAAAATATTTAGATAAAAACTAAATATTAAAAGTATATCATATAATCAACAAATACAAACTATTTTTTGAAATTTTGAATACTTCATGAATTAGGAAATATAAAGAATACAGAAATATATCTCAGAATAATTAAAATAATTTAAATATATCCACTCTAAAGTTTAAGTTGGAATGCTAATTATCCTGAATTGATCATGAATTGATGTGGGCATGAATCAGAACATTGCACTCTACCTGATAAAAATACACAAACTCTATGTGTTAGTTAAAAAGTAAATACTATATGTTAAAAACAGTATGAAGAGTTGATGTTTTAAAAACCTGATTTTCCTTCTCTTCAATTTTCTTCTTATTTTCTTCTTCAAGATGTTGGATTTTTTCATATTCTTCCTTTACTTTAAAAATAAAATAGATATAATGTCTTACCATAATTATAAAACTTTTCTACTACCAATAAAATTTGAAAATTCCTTCACTTCCTTATTTATCTCAAAATTATACTAAAACTTCAAAAGTTTCTGATGAGCAAAAACTGATAGTTTCTTACTGTTAATTTTGTTTAATAAAATAGTGAACTTAAATAATATCAATAGCTTAAAATTCTGTAACCCTTATATAAGCGACACATAAAACTTTATTCTTTACAACACAGTAATCTAAAATAAAGAATTTTAAATATGTCATAATATATTATATATACTTTACCAAAAAATATATGACAAAACTGTACTTCTAAAAAGCTAATACAAGCCATAATAGATTTTATTTCATAGAAAATGTAGTCTTTAACACAAACAATATTTTGAATATGCATTAATCCCCTGCCAAAATCCACAAGATTTTGAGAGGCTTACAAAAGTTAAGATAATATGAAATTTAAATTAGTTAAGAGCATCAAATGGACAGAATGAGAATATTAATAAAATAACAAAATATAAATAGCGATAAAAAACGTTAAATTAATAGGATTCCTACATTTGAAATTCATTTCCCGTTTAGAATTCTCAGATTGCTCACGAAGTTCTTCAAAAGCTACTGCCATTCTCTGGAATATAAAAAGTTTAAGAATCAGACTTTTTCAGTATGTTTCTTCAAATTTTGAAAAGATTACTAAATTTAAACATGTAATCATTGTATATAAAGCCACTCAACCTGAATCATGAAAATCCTATAACATAATAATTTACTAAAAAGTATTAAGAATGCCTGTAACGGGCATTCATCAGTTGAGACGATTCATCAGTTGAAGACACTGACTCAAGCCTTACAACCTGAATTTGACCCTCAGAACCCACATAGAGGAAGAAGTGAACTGACTCCTGTGGGCTGTCTTTTGGTCTCTACATGTGTGCCATGGGACACACACACAAACACACACACAGACACACACACAAACTTTTAAAAAAATAATTTTTGGTATAAAAAAGTTCTTTTTCTAATTACCTTTTTTTAAAACGTTATTGAGAATTTCATACATGCATACAAGATGTTTTGATCAAATCCATGCCCACTCCCTCCTCCCACCTCCTCCCATATCTCCCCATCACTTTTTTCTGCCAACTTCCTGTACTTTCTTTCTTTCTTTCTTTCTTTCTTTCTTTCTTTCTTTCTTTCTTTCTTTCTTTCTTTCTTTCTTTCTTTCTTCTTTCTTTCCTTCCTTTCTTTCTCTTTGCAAATGGGGGCTTTTTGCTATTCTAACATATTTTAAAAATTTTTTTAAAGTGCCCGTAATGTTTCCCTGGCACTGGAAACAGGTAAGATAATACAGAATAACAAAAACGAATATTGTCACTTTATCCTTTTAGTAACACATTTCAACATAATATCACATGCCTCAGTCCACAAGATTTTAAGGGGTTTACAGAATCAAATACAATAATAGCACAACTGTTATTTTACATTTTCCTGTGCTTAATGAATTTGTTTCTTCCCACTACAGTAAGCCAGACATTCCCCATAAAAATTCAAAATTATATTTACATCACTTGTTTAGGGTGTGTTCACTCAACATTCAATAAATCTTGCTTTGCAAAATTAGATTATTTATTCATTCATCTACTAAGCATTTACTAAATGTCTATTATGTATCAGAATTATTTTAGGCACTCGGACTATAACACAGTATCTACCATACTAGAAATTATTTATATTCAGTATAAGAAAGAATAAACACACATATAAAATGACTGTGTGTATATATCAAGTAACTGTCATGTATTTTTAAATACTCTTCAATAAAGTTAAATGGAGAGATACAGAATAATTGGTTAAAGATATTTAGATTAATAGTACAGTTAGTGAAACAAAAAGAAAGCATGTTTATAAGTGCACATAAGAAATTAAACAAAAAAAATCTGTAAACAGAAAACTCAAAGAACCAAGATCATAATGTCTTTGGTAATGCTATGAAACATACAAAGAATGGCTATACCAGAAGAGCAAATGGTGTAAGATAAAACATGAGACAACAAAGGTAATCAAGAGAAAGATTAATAATATTTTCCCAAATTAATGATTATATCTTTCAATGTGCTAGTCTCTTGACACGAATTCAATAAATACTTAGTATATTAAATAGTACTACTAACATGTGAATTAAAAAGCTACTACAGGGGCTGGAGAGATGGCTCAGTGGTTAAGAGCACTGACTGCTCTAGCAGAGGACCCAGGTTCGATTCCCAGCACCCACATGGCGGCTACAAACCATCCTTACTGCAGTTCCAGGGGAATCCGAAGCCCTCTTCTGACATCCGCAGCATTGCATGACACGGGCACACTCACATACATGCAGGCAATATATTCATACACATAAAATAAAAATGATAAATAAATTTTTTTTTTTTAAAAAAAAGCTACTACAGAACTGGGGCAATGGCTCCGCAGTTAAAGTGCTTGCTGTGAGTTCAGATGCCAGGTGAGAATGGTATCCTGGATATAATTCCAGTCTTAGAAAGTTACAAGAGATCATTGGAACAAGCTAGCTAGTGAGACTAGTCACATTAGCAAGCTCTGGGTTTAAAAGATCCTTCCCTGGAGCTGGAAAGATGGTTCAGCAGCTAAGAGCACTGCCTGCTCTCGTGGAGATGCCAGGTTCGATTTCCAACACCCACATGGTAGCTGCCTGCCCATCCCCAACTCCAGTTCCAGGGTATGTGATGCCTTCTCCTGACCTTCATAGCCATTGCACAACATGGATACACTTACACTCATATACATAAAATAAAAATAATAATTTTTTTAAAAAAAGATAAGAAACCCTGCCTTAAAGCATAAGGTAGTAGAGTGCTGGAAGAATATTTCTAGCATCCACTTCAGGACACATACTCGTGTGTGCACGCCACACACACACACACACACACACACACACACACACGAAAAAGGGGAAATATTGCTACAATTGACCAGAGTGAAAACACACCTGTTAACGGCAGCAATCAGAAGGCTGAGGACTGCTTGGGCTACATAGTGAGATCCTGTTTACGTGTTCCACTCCCCCAAAAAACTACTATCTAACAAAACAGTATTTATAGGTCAGAACCTTAAAATTTTTACTAGCAATTCAATCATACATCAATATATACTCATATTTCAGCAACCATGGTGGACAATATCTTTGTAGCTGTCACTCTACTTTGCTTAGAAATTCCTTTGTTTAAGCCAGGCATAGTGGTGCATGATTTTAATCCCATCCCTTAGGAGGCAGAGGCACGTGGACCTCTGTGAGATCGAGGCCAGCCTGGTTTACTTAGTGAGCTTTAGGCCAGATGGGACCATAGGGAGACCCCATCTCAAAAAGGGCCAAAAATTATTTTTTCTAAGGTAATTCCTATTTTCACTAACACTTACCTCAATGGTATTGTTTAGATCTGCCTGAACTTGTTTTGTTTCGTCCCTTTCACATTCATCTGTAATTAACATTGAAAAGTTCAAAATTTAATTTTAAAACATGATATTAACAACATTGTAAGGAAGGAGCAAGGGAGAGAGGGACTGAGAAAGGGGAGTGGAGGGGAATGAATGAATACCAAACTACAGCACATTCTAGTTATCTCGTATCTCATCCAACCTAAGAGGAAGAGACAAAGGAGAAGTATTTGCAAAGTTTACAATTCACGGGCAAGGATTTGCTAAAAGACTGAGTCCTAATCATAGCTCTACAGATTACTTCCTGCACTTCTCCCTCTCCCTACATCTTGCCAAGCTCCTAAACCATGTCATTAAAGACCAATTTACTTCAGCTCCTTTTTCCAGAATAGTATGTCCAACTCTAAAGAAAAAGCAATAAGGTATAATAAAGAACAAAAAATTACAGCTAAAGATACAGAACAAGGACTAGACAGGACAGTGATCATAGGAATTAACAGAGAATGAATTTAAAACAACTACTATTATTATACTAAGGGATCAAGTAGGCAAAATTGATAACGTGCAAAAATAGATAGGAAGAGGGTTAAGGTTATAGCTCAGTGGTAGAGTGCTTGCCTCATATACAAAAAGCTATGGGTTTAATCATTGGTAATAAACAAATAGACAACCAGATGAACAATGTAATTAGAGAGGTAAAAATTCTGTAAAGAAAGAAAAATGAAACAGAACTGAAACAAATTATCAAGATGAAAAACTCAGTAACAGAAATGAAAGGGTTATGAGTAAACTAGACATGGCTAAAAGAAGAGTTTCTGAGCTTAGAGATATAACAAAGAAGAATGAAAAATCAAGGAGAACAATTCTGAAGAAAAAAAAAGAATACTTAAAAACTATAAGATAGTTACAAAAGGTGGCATAAATGCATACTGGGAATACCAGAACAAAAAGACTCAGAACTATTTCAAACAAACAACTGAGATTTTCCCCAAAATTAATATCAGAAACCAAACCACATATTCAAAGAGATTCAGAGAACAAAGCAAAATGAATGCCACAAAAGAAATAAATTACATTTAAGTGTATTATGTTCAAACTCTATAAAACAAAGGTAAGGTAGCTGGAGGTGAAAAATCTTTATATATGAAGAAATAAAGGTGAGAATTATAATTGAAGATAAAACACTTTGTTTTGCAAGGCTTGGAATCCAACCCAGGGCATTATGTATACTAGGCAAGCACTCTACCATTGGGTTACATTTCCAGTCTTTCACTTTTTGAGAAAAGTTCTCACTATGTGGCACAGGCTTGCCTTGAACTCAAAATCCTGCCTCTACCTACAAAGTGCTGGAATTAGAGACATGTACTTCCATGTCAGACTTTTTTTTACTATTCTTGACTGATCTAACTTGTGATGCATAAAAGTTTCTCTGGGTGAGTAAATGAGAGGTCTTAGTACATTACTGCATACGAGTGTTAATTTTAAGCCCTATACACTAAGTTAGATTCTTAAATTCTTTGATTAATAAATTAACCTAAGTTTATTGCAACTAATTTGCTATATATAAACTTTATGATTTTTTTCAAACAGAAATATTGTACAGGTGAACAATTATTTTTCTTTCTTTATATCCTCATTATATAGCTACCTATTATTCTTGGTTCTTTGAGCAGTATCTCCTTGCACAGTCCAGGCTGGCCTCAAACTTGCAAGCTTTCTGCTTCAGCCTACTTAGTGATAGAATTACAAGCTTTACCACTATTTTTGGTACACTACAATGTTACAAAGGTTATGTAAGTTGATGAAATTTTTCAAATCTTCTATACTCTATGGGACCACTGCCTTATATATACTCTATTGTCAAATCTAATTAATACAGTTTTTCAATACACCATGCCTACAGCAGAGCTGTTTCACTGTAGCAATGCTCTGTTGCTATTTTCAGTTATGGACATGACTATGTATCACATTTTTTATTCAATTTCCTGGTTGTTTCAGACAGAAGGTTAGTATTAAAATCACACTTTAAGTAAAATGAGGATTAAATATAAATGCCAGGTATATACTTCTTGATATACACTACTTTTCAAAACTAGAAAACTTAGTTACTACTTATAAAAAAGTCTGGAGTACTTAAAATTTAGTGAAATAAAAATTAGTTCCAAGAATTGAAAACACAATTTTCCTCCTGCATGTATCCACTATTAAATGAATAGTAAATTGATAAAACCACATAAAATGAGAAAGATATTTACATTTCTTTATCTTTTGTGAGGCTCTGGCAGAGGTTTCTTTGAGGAGGTTGCAGAATTTTCTTGCAGTATTATACCTGAAACAGAGAATTTGTCTAAGTGTAATTTGATCTCAAGCAAAATTATATATGAAGGCTATAAAGTATTTAGCTACAATTCTTACAGAAAACTTTTTACTAAATTTTTTATCTTTATTGTTATTTTATGTGTATGATTGTTATGCCTGCATGTATGCATATAAGTGCACCCTTGTTATAAGGTGCCCACGGAGGCTAGAAGAAGGTGTCAGCCACCATGTGGATGCTTAGATTCAAATCCAGGTCTTAGGCAAGAACAGCAAGTGCTCTTAGCCGCTGAGCCATCTCTCCAGCCCCAAGAAATGTTTTCTAAATACTATATTTTGTATGTATCACATGGTAATGATTATATCAAAGAAAAGTAGATTGGCTGTGTGCAATATTAGCAAACATAATTTACTAACTACTTCCCTTTAAATAAAAGTGAAAAGACATTCACAAGACTTTAGAGCAAGTTGCTAGTAATGCCCTTGGAGGGAATAGTTCCAGATTTATTTAGGAAAAATAATGAAAAGAGGGGTTTAGACTTCATTTACTAATTACCCTCAAAATATTCTAGATGCATAACTTTTAAAAGCAAAAGATAACCTTCTCAGTAGGCATTCATTGATTGAATAAGACTTCTGGCCATATTGTTTAAGTTACTAACGTATAGAGAGTGGTTAGACTTAACTTTCTAACTTAATTTTTTTTTCTGTAGAAATTGTTATATAAAAAAGGGGCATTTGAGTGGAAGAATCAGTTTTGAAATAAGTTGAGCTTTATTTCATAAGTGTTACTCCATATAGCAATAGTGAAAACAGTAAGATATACAAAGGCAGTTGTAGATATAGAATTGCAGACATTAGGGAAAGGAGAGATGGTTCAGCAGTTAAAAGCACTGGCTGCCCTTGCAGAGGACTCAGGTTCAGCACCCACACATGAGTAACAACCGTCTCTAACTACAGTTCCAGGGAATCTGACACCCTCTTCTGGTTCATACAGGTACTGCACTTAAGTACATGTAGGCAAAACAGGCATACACATATAATAAAAAAAATAAATATTTTAATTAAACAATTCAAAATAGAATTTTCAGACACCTTTTTAATAGCATGCAGTGATTCTTCCAGACAATTGACATTTTAAAAAGTGAAAAGTTATTCATCAATGACCACAGTTCGTCAAATCTAAGAATGCAGAATAGAATTTACTATTGTTAACATAAAACTAACACATAGAAAATACTAAGAAATAAAAACTATTTTAATAATAAATTTGAAAGCAAAATCTCTATTACTTACTCCGGTATTAAATCTTCATTTTCCTGAATTTGTTCTTCTAATTTCACACTTATTTTTTCTTTTTCTAACTAATTTAGAAAAAAAAAACAGTTCATTACAATTCACTTAGCAAAACAAATGAGTATCATTAATAAGCAGGTCAGTTCTTACTAACATAAGTTCTGCATGAATTCTTTCTTTCTACATAAAAAGATCTTTTTGTTATGGCTTATGGAGTTACCATAAAAATATGGCTCCCCTTGGGAGATAGAGACAGCAGAACAAGAAGGTCAATTTCAGTCTCATGTATAAAGTTTGAGACCTGCCTGAGCTATATGAGACCATAACCAACTCAAATAAAAGGGGGGGGGCGGTAGCAAAATGGCTCAGTGGGTAAGTGTATTTGCCGTCAAGCCTGGCAATCTGAGTTCAACTCCCAAAACCTATATGGTATAGGGAGATAACTGACTCTCACATGTGCACTGTAGCGTGCGCGAGTGTGCGTGCACGCACACACACACACACAAACAATTAATGTAAAAATTGCTGAATGATCTCCAAAAGTACTCAATATTTTAGCACAACATCATCTTGCTACTAATTTTGAGGTATTTTATTTGCTTTTATTTTCTTGATTTCTCTTTTATGCTATATGAAAACAAAACTTAAAGTTTGTATATAAATATATTCTGATATAATAAAAGGCATTTGAAGCAAATAGGTCATCAATAATAGAACTTCATTATAGGGACTGGAGAGATGGCTCAACAGTTAAGAAAACTGGCTGCTCTTGAAGAGAATGTGGATTAAGTTCCCAGCACCCACATGGTGGCTAATAAACCTTCCATAACTCCAGTTCCAGGGAATCTGATGTTCTCTTCTGTCCTCTACAGGCATTGCATGACACAGGTAACTTAACATACATGCAGGCCAAACAAATGTGCACACAGAGACAATCACTTCCATGTGTACAGAGGAAAATTAATTGGACACACACTCACATACTCATGCAAAAAATAACTCACCTTGTATTCTCCATTTTTTTTCCACAAGCATCCAACATAATGACAGTATTCAGGTGTGCTTGTGAAATTATATGAATTGAAGGTGTAAGTACGTGTTCTTAGACACATATTCATATGGACTCAAAGATATTGCTACATAGTACTAATGATACTTTACAACACCCTCTTATTGGATACTGGGCTCTTTAATGGATTCTCACGACCCTAAACCTCTAACTGGTGAGAAACAAAATGACTCCACTCAAGTACCTACTTCTTATCACAATAATACTTTCCAAGTATCAAATTTTGAGAGCAAATTCCACAGCTTTTATTCAAAAAATTGTAGAAATTGTGACATGCTCTTATGTAACATATTTTAAGGAATATTATTTAAACGGATGTAAAATTCTCCCACCAGTATTTTTTGAAAATGAATGAATTTTTATCAGCTTACATAGAATTAGGTTTCATTATTACATTTTTCTATCAAAATTTGTTTTTGTTGTTTCTTTTCCCCTTTCTTTTCATCTCTGCCGATCCATCATGTCTTCCCATCTGCACCGGCCTCCTTTCCACTTTCATGTCACATTTGTTTTTCTGTCCTATGCCCTTAAGAATTCTAGTACCAAAACCTTTATCTTACAAATTACACTACAGCAACATAAAAGCAGATAAGATTACATTGTTTTTCAATTCATAGTTATGTCTTAAAATATTTTATTTTTGTACTTTGACTTGAAAACTAAAATATAAATTATGAATATTAAAGAAAAAATAAGACTTACTTTAAACTTTTATGATAAAGGTCAATAAATTGCTCTTTATCTAAATTAATTTATTATTTCCCTGATTACCTGATTATTTCCCTAATCTGTATTAAGTATCATGGGACTTGCTCTGCACTCATACCTAACACTGAAATGCAGTTTGTAGCAATGAAATATTAAAAAGCCCTGTTCTCAAAATCCCTGCCACAGAAACAAAATTAACCTGAATTACTTTTAAGTAATCATTTCAGCAGTATTATGCTAATATTTATCATGTGCTATATATATTTTTATATTTTTATTGATTCTTTGAGAATTTCATACAATGTGTTTTGATCAAATTCAGACCCCTTCTCCCATCTACACCTCCATTTTACTGTTCCCAGCCCCACTCCCAATTTTTATGTTCTCTATTATTTTTTAAGGTCTATTGAATCTAAGTTGCACCCCCAAATGCTCTTGGGTGTGAGTAGATCACCTGGAGCCTGGTCAACCTACCTGGGTGTCACATCCTTAATGAAAACTGACTCTCCCTCTCTCAGCAGCTCTCAATTTTCAATATCCCTCAGCTAGTCTTAAAGTTGCTTGTGTGTGTGCTGTATTTATAATTCAAAGCTTCATATTACCTGCAGTTCCAGAATGGCATTTTGCTGTTCTTCAATTTTCCTTTTTTTTTCTTCCAGATTCTTTTCTTTCTGCTTCAGTTCCAATTCTTTACTTTCTGAGCACTTTTTGATCTTTTCAACCTCTTTATACAGCTTTGAATATACATCGTTCACTGGTTCTGAATTCTATTACAATATATTTCCAAAAGTTAGTAATTTGAAATTTTAACCAAACTGCATTTACCTAAAATATTCATTTACTAATGATCACTGATTCTCTATTCAATTTACGCTCTAGTAGGATTAACTCATTTAAAGCACCAAGCCAGCATTTACAACTTTACTAAAGTTACAGAATAAAATCAAGACTGAAATATGATTAAGAGGTTAGCAACATTTTAGTCAATATGAGACTATCACTGGATAAAAGCTAAAATAAATTACCCCACAGCAAAGCTATAAATGTTAGAAATGGCCTTAAAACATTTTTTGGTCTTTTTTAGACATGGGCTTCCCAGCTGGCTTAGAACTCACTATGTAGACCAGGCTGGCCTTCAACTAAGAGATCTCCTGCCTCTGCCTCCCGAGTGCTGGGATTAAAGGCTTGTACCATCACTCCTACTTCAAAACAAAACTTTAAACTTTTTTTGTGTGTGTGTATGACTGTTTTGCCTGCATGTATGTAAGTGCATACATGTCATGCAATGCCCACAGAGGTCAGAAGAAAGCATCTGATGTCCAGAACTGGAGTTATGGAACAGTGGTTAGCTGCCACATAGGTGCTGGGAGCCCAACCCAGGTCTTCTGAAAGAACAGCCAGTGCTCTTAACTGCTGAGCCACCTCCAGTCCCTCAAAGCAAAACACTTAATTATGTATTTCCATTGGTAAAATGAACGTAATTTGTAAAATACTTAAATATTGTTAGCTATTCAAGAATAGTAATTTTAATAACATATAGTTCCCTTCAATTTCCTTATGTTATTCTCCTCAATCAAATTGAGATTTATCTTCGTGGAATGGCCTTTTCTTGATATATCTTGGCTAGAGCATCCATAAGCAATTTTCTTCAGCATATAAATTAAAATAATTGCATCATCCTACCTTCCATATAAAGGACCACATGGGAAACATTTTTAAATTAAGTAGCATAAAAAGCTGTTTCACCTTAGAAATCTGCTGCAATTCTTCTTCTCAGTGAGAATTTTACTAAAGTATTTTTTTTTCTTTACCTTAGTCATGAAGCCGCTTACTCATAACACTCTTTATTATCTACATATAGCAATTTGTCCTAATAGTCCTAATTCTCCTTGGTAAAATTTTAAATTTTCTCCAAATTCATATATTCTCCTTATAAACTGCCTCAAATCTGGAAAGACATTTCTTCAGTGCTACAGCTACTGAGTAAGTGCCTGCATTCCTTTGAGAAACTCTAGTAGAATGCACTGGGTGTCTTTCACACACAAAGAAACATGAAAAGTAGGAGGATTAGTTGGAAAGAGGAAGAGGATCAGTGGGAGGGGGCAAAAAAGGGTAATAGGAACACAGCCAAAATACAATACACACATGTGAACATATTCAAAATATATTACATACATGTGTGAGAATGCCATAGTGAAACCCATTATTATGCATTAATATATGATAATAAAAACATTAAAATATAAAATAAATCCAGGTGTGGTGGCACAAAACATTTATCTGAACACTAAAGAGGCAGATCTCTGAGACTACTTAGACCAGCCTAGTCTACACATAAGGAGTTCCAGCCCAGTCAGGGCTACAAAGTGAGAAGAAGGTGTTGGATCCTCTGGAATTGGAGTTACAGGTGCTTTTTAGCCACCATGTGGGTATCGAACCTGGATTCTCTGCAACAGCAGCCAGTGCTCTTAACCATCTCTCTAGCCACAGTACTATTATTTATTTAGAGTTCTACAGCAGCACTGATTCTTTAAATAAGTGTTGCCTATACACAATAAGGCTTGTTTTCTGTTGAATTGATGTTATTCAAAATTCCTGAGGACAACACTGAAGGGATAGCTCAGCAGATAAAAGTTAATATTGCTCTTCCAGAGAACCCAAGTTTGGTTACAGCATCCACATGGCAATTAACATCCACCTTTAACCCCATTTCCAGGGGACCTAATGCCCTCTCCTGGCCTCCAAAGGTACCATACAGGCAAAGCATTCATACATATATGACAAGATATTTTTTTAAAAAGTATTGAATGAGCTAGTTTTGGTGGCACATGCCTTTAATCCCAGCACTCAGGAAGCAGAGAATTTCTAAGTGGATTTCTTAGTACAAGCCAGCCTGATCTACGTAGTGAGTTCCAGGTCAGCTGGGGCTACAGGGAGATACTGCCTTAAAAAAATAGTATTGAATATACCAAATATTTACTGAAAAGCATTACATATTGCCAATAAGAAAACATACTTTATTTTTTACTTACATTTCTTTGGGTTTGATGTGTGTGTACGTGTATGTGTGTGTGTGTGTGTGTGTGTGTGTGTATGTGTATACACCTATGTTGAAATCAGAGAACAACTTAGAGCATTCAGGAAAAAAACTTAAGTCCGTTAACCCACTGAGGCCTTTTGCCAGCCCAACACACATTTTTCAACAAGTGAATCATGTTTCCAATGCAAATTTACCCTGGAGGAAAATAAATTTTCCAAAGTCACAGATAGCACTTCAGACAGCTGACTGCTGCTCGGTCCTGTTGGTTCAAACAGCTTGAAAGTGTTCTGCTTTTCCATGTTCAGTATGTACCTACTGGGACTCAGGGAGGAAAGAACTTGGCATTACTTCCTTAGTGTCATCTATACAGTCACGTTTGCATATCTCAGAGAGAGAAACCATGGTCCCGACTCTCCCAACAGTGCCATCCCCAGGCAGGTGGACAAAGTCCCACAAGGTCCCTCCTGTCCCCCACTCTAGCCACCACATGGCCACCAGCCCTGACAGGACCTCCATGTCACTCCCAGTGACAGCCTGAAAAGTCACCTAGGCCTGCAAACCCAGTGGGCAATGCAATGAGGGAGATACCCTGAGGGACGCCATGAGAGACAACACCTTAAGAACGCCCTGAGACGACAATGCCAAGGGAAAACCTGAGGGATTCCAAAAGAGCACCACGATGGAGATGCCTTGAGGGAAACAAATGCTCTGAGAGATGCCAGAGGACACCATCAGGGAGACACCCTGAGAGACTACGTTCCACACCAAAGGGAAGAATGAGGGAGACGCCCTGAGAGATGCCCTGAGAGACGGCGCCCTAATGGGGAACTCTCCGAGTGACCCCAGAGGGCACCCTGAGGGAGATGCCCTGAGAAGACAACCTGAGAGTCGCTCTGTAAGAAACCAGGATGCCAGACCCTAGGGTGAGGTGAGCCTAAAACAATGAGTGAGATGCCCTGAGAGAGGACGCCCTAATGGGGAACTCTCTGAGTGACCCCAGAGGGCACCCTGAGGGAGACGCCCTGAGAAGACACCCTGAGAGTCGCCCTGTGGACACCGGAGGGCACCATGAGGGAAACGCCCCGAGGGAAGCCAAGAGGGACAAGAAAAGGGCACCATGAGGGAGACACTCTGAGAAATGATGCCCAAGGGGACACTAAGAGGGCACCGTGAGGGAGACACCTTGAGAGACAATGCCCTGAGAGACGACACCCTAATGGGGAACTCTCTGAGTGACCCCAGAGGGAACCCTGAGGGAGACGCCCTGAGAAGACATCCTGAGAGTCGCCCTGTGGACACTGGAGGGCACCCTGAGGGAAATGCCCTGAGGGAAGCCAAGAGGGACACCAAAAGGGCACCATGAGGGAGACACTCTGAGAAATGATGCCCAGGGGGACACTAAGAGGGCACCGTGAGGGAGACACCTTGAGAGACAATGCCCTGAGAGACGACACCCTAATGGGGAACTCTCTGAGTGACCCCAGAGGGAACCCTGAGGGAGACGCCCTGAGAAGACATCCTGAGAGTCGCCCTGTGGACACCAGAGGGCACCCTGAGGGAAACGCCCTGAGGGAAGCCAAGAGGGACACCAAAAGGGTACCCTGAGGGAAACACTCTGAGAAATGATGCTCAGGGGGACACCAAGAGGGCACCGTGAGGGAGACACCTTGAGAGACAATGCCCTGAGAGACGACACCCTAATGGGGAACTCTCTGAGTGACCCCAGAGGGCAACCTGAGGGCGACGCCCTGAGAAGACACCCTGAGAGTCGCCCTGTGGAAACCGGAGGGCACCCTGAGGGAAACACTCTGAGGGAAGCCAAGAGAGACACCAAAAGGGCGCCATGAGGGAGACACTCTGAGAAATGATGCCCAGAGGACAGTAAGAGGGCACCGTGAGTGAGACACCTTGAGAAACAATGCCCTGAGAGACGACGCTCTAATAGGGAACTCTCTGAGTGACCCCAGAGGGCAGCCTGAGGGAGACGCCCTGAGAAGACACCCTGAGAGTCACCCTGTGGACACCGGAGGGCACCCTGAGGGAAACGCCCTGAGGGAAGCCAAGAGGGACACCAAAAGGGCACCCTGAGGGAGACACTCTGAGAAATGATGCCCAGGGGACACTAAGAGGGCACCGTGAGGGAGACACCTTGAGAGACAACGCCCTGAGAGACGACGCCCTAATGAGGAACTCTCTGAGTGACCCCAGAGGGCAGCCTGAGGGAGACGCCCTGAGAAGACACCCTGAGAGTCGCCCAGTGGATACCGGAGCGCACCCTGAGGGAAACGCTCTGAGAGAAGCCAAGAGGGACACCAAAAGGGCACCATGAGGGAGACACTCTGAGAAATGATGCCCAGGGGGACACTAAGAGGGCACCGTGAGGGAGACACCTTGAGAGACAATGCCCTGAGGGAGGCTATAAGGGATGAATCAGGGTGGTGTCAGGAAGGGAGTCCAAGAGCCAGAATCGGCTGCAGGGTGCCTATACTTGTCCCAAACCCGCCCACTCAGCCTCCCGCAAAGCCGGGCCACCGGTTCCCACCTTCGCAGAACCAGCAGTAAGGTGGGTTTCACTAACCGGGAGCTCAGAGCGGGAACCTCAAAGAAGATGGCAGATTCACCCCGCGCACCCTCAGCAGGGTGAAGCGCTGGCGACTAGTGGCTAAATGATGGTCAGCACAGCATAACGGTCAAAGGGAGACAGGTCCCGTATGAAATCTCGTGAGACTTCACTTACTGGGGGCGGGGCGGGGGTAGGGTGGGGGTGGTGCCGGAGCTGGGGCAGGGGCAGGGCTCAGGGCGCATACACTTGTACCCCACCCAGTCACCCAGCCTCCCGCAAAGCCGGGCCACCTGTTCTCACCTCCACCGAACCAGCAGTAAGGTGGCTTCAAAAACCGGGAGCTCAGAGCGCGAACCTCAAAGAAGATGGCAGACTCACCCCGCGCACCCTCAGCAGGGTGAAGCACTGGCGACTAGTGGCTAAATGATGGTCAGCACAGCATAACGGTCAACAGGAGACAGGTCCCGTATGAAATCTCGCGAGACATCCCTTACTGGGGGTGGGGCAGGGCAGGGCAGTGTGGTGGGAGTTGGGGGGTGTGGTGAGGCCGGGATCCTTTGTGAAATTTCTTGAGACTTCCCTTCTTGGAGGCGGGGCTGGGTGGGGCAGGGTGTGGGTACCTCTTTCCTTGGTTCTGATTCTGCTTTAAGTTGACATTCGGAAAGATTCTGCTGTTGTCAAAGAACACTGTTTAAGCTTGTGGGCCCAGACAGATGAGCCAAGGGCTCAAAAGTCCAGGATCACCTCCTAAGAATTCACAGGAGCTTAGGAAGGCGGTGTGTGCTAGCAATCAGGGTGACACCCAATCACTAAAGGTTTTAGACCTGTGGACACAGGGATGGTGTGAAGGTGGCTGGATGGGTCTGTAGAGTATAGGTTTCTGTTACTGCTTCAATTAGAAGAGGTTTGGCCACATAATCAATAGGGAGAAAGTGCTCCTGACAAAAGGGAAGGTTGGCTTGGGAATCTAATAAGTAGTAGACATGTGTCTGAGGACAAGGTGGGGAAAATAGCAAAGGGTGAGATGGGACAGGAAAAAATGAAGAGCAGAAATTAAGTCAGGATTTTAGACTTTGTAGATGATCTTGAGGAATTTTGAACAGCAAGGGTGGCATGATCCAGATTAGAAGAAAATTTATTTATAGTATGAAGAACCTTTTAGGTTTATAGAACTGGAGTTGAGACTTGTATAACTTAGGCTAGATGGGAGGACTCTGTCTACGACAGCAGCAGTGAAGATGAGCTATCAGCTGGAAAATATAGTTATCAAGTGAAGTCGATGGCATTTTAATATAAATAAGAGAGGAGTCAAAGATGACTGCCAAAGATAAATGTATGACTTTGTGCTTGGACAACTAAAGATATCATTATGGTGCTAAGAACCTAGTTCCTAAGCTTGATACAATGAACCAACTCCTCCCCAAGGATAAGTGACTAAGCAACTAAGCACAAGCACTATTAAGTACTATTAACACACTTTTCATGTTAATGATCAGCTTTTATTGTAAAAACCCCTTTTAATATTTGTGAGGGGTTTTTGGTTTTGTTTTGTTTTTTATGAGACATGGTCTCACTTTGTAGATCTGGCTGGACTCAAACTCAAAAAGATCTGCCTGCCTCTGGGATTAGAGTGCTGGGATTAGAGGAATGTGCCAGGACAGCTAATGTTTCTCTTTTGTTTTAATAAAAACAATACGATTGGTAACAAATAAAACACATTGCAATCATTTTGTCTTACAAATTTTGTTTATATATCATATAATACCTTACAACATTTACAACTATACATGCAGTATTCCCACTTGTATATAATCTGTGATCCATTTGTGCTTTCATGACTTCAAGAGAACCCTAATATGTTAATTTGATGCATTTTACTATTAATTATTTTTTGTGGTGGGGACTGAACTCAGAGCCTTGTGTATATAAGGCAAACACTCTCCCACTGAGCTACTTCCCCATCTTTTGGATTCAGGAGGCTTTCTGTTTGAGACAGTCTTCCTATAGTCCCAGTTGGCCTGGAACTCTCTATGTAGACTAGACCGGCATAAATCTCACAAAGGACGCCTTTGTGTCCTAAGTGCTGGGACATGTGTGAGCACCATTCCCAGCTGGACTGGTTTTTAATTGTAACAATTCTAAGTGGTGCAAAGGTAAGAGACAATGCTAAAAATAGAAACTTGCAATAAAGTGAGGTTTTTACACAACCATATTAGTTACTTTTCTGGTTATTGTGACCAAATACCTAAGAAGAGTAATGTAAGGAATGAAATGGTTGGAAATGTTGACCTTTCGAAAGGATACAGTCCACAATTGAAACAGGGAGAAAGAGGGTCCCCTAGAGGGTTCTAAGTCTCATTCATAAAAGAATTTAAGAATGGACCCAAATGGAAGCTTTTACAATTTTATTAGAACCTTAAAGAAAAATCCTCAGAGCAGGTGAGCTGGTAATTTTGGCAGCTTCCTTGAGGAGGTGAATAGTGGGAAGAAGGAAAGATAGCCATGGAAGCCATGCAGGTTTAGAGCCTGCATGGAGGTCAGACACGTGGCTGACTCACAGACACATGGCTGGGAGAAGGAAGCTTTAGAGAAAAAGTGAACAATCACAAGATGCTAGCGGCATCCCAAAGCCTTAAAGAAAGCATGTTTCAAAAGAAAGGTATGAAGAAGAAAAGGCGAAATTATGCTTTCCTGAAGTATTCAGGAAAATGGACAGACTTACGGAGACCTACATGC